GTAATAGATGTTGCATACTGCCCTCTTACAGAGCTGATACCCATCTGTAGTCCCCCAATAATGTCAGAAAGTGTATTCTTCCCCACCCTTTCTCTACTGCACTGTGGCAAACATTTTGATCTCTGGCAGTCTGATAGAGCACCTAATGGTGATAAGGAGGAATAGGACGAACATAGAGCAGTTAGGAGTGGCAAGAAGGTGGGGAGGGCCCCTGGGGGGCTCAGTCGTTAAGCGTCTGCCCTCGGCTCAGGTCATGATCCCAGGGTCCTGGACGTCGGGCTCCCCGCTTGGCGAGAAGCCTGCTTCTCCCTCTCCCACTCCCCCTGCTTGTGTTCCTGCTCTCGCTGTCTCTCTCTGTCAAATAAAATCTTAAAAAAAAAAATTTTTTTTTAAAAAGAAGGTGGGGAGAGGAAGAGAGTGGCTTAACTTTGGAGAGAGTGTTCAGGAAAGCTTTACCTCTTCAGCCCTTTTGTGTGTTTTAACTTCAATGGCAGCTGCTTCTGTGGCTCTGATAACTGGAGCCTTGTCCCACTTTATATGTGTCTGTGCCTTTGAGAGAACCAGAAAAGAAGTTAATAACCTCCAGTTAACCAAGACAAACACTGAGGAAGCTAAACCAAAAGAGAACAAAAACACAGAAGTAAAGTGGGTTAGAATTACAGCATGTCAGCACTGAAAGAGAGCGTAGGGGTCATCTTAGTATGTCTAAGTTCATTTGCCCCCTCTCCTTTTTTTGTGGGGCAGAAACCAACACATGTACCTTGGCCTGGGTCAGACTGGTAGTGGGTGCCCATGCCAGGTATAGAATTCTCTTCTTGAGTCACAGGCAGGCTGTTATCCACCAGAGTGATAGCTTGTCTGAGTGCATCACATTTTGGGGTCAAAGCTCAAACCCCAGCACTGTTTAGTAGACCTGCTACAGTAGATGTGGGGAAAGGAGAAACCTACTTTAAATTGCTTTAAGCAGGTTTTTTTTATGCAAAAGTGTTGGCTTTTTTTCTTTAGCTGTCTAGTGAACCACTGCAGCCTGAACTATCGTTTGTTATTATTTGGTAATTCAGGAACTAACTCAAGATTCTTCTGTTTTGTATTTTTTTTAAGTGCTTGCTCCTAGACATACCATATATTTCTGGATGGGGAGACCTATTAATTCACATTAATTTAATTTATAAGTTTGATACAGTTATAGGCACAGTCTCAGTGGAACTGTTCTTTTTTTTTTTTTTTTTACTTAACAAAGATGTTCTAAAATTAATCTGGAAGTCCGAGCAAGCAAGACTAGATAGGAATACTGTGCAAGTTAGTGAGAGAACTTGAACTATCAGATAACAAAACATATTAAGTCATAGTCATGTAAACAACATATTATAGGCATGGGAATAAAGGTCAATGACAGCAGAAAAAGTGAAAAAAAGAATAACCATAAGATCTTATGTACGAGTCATTGGGGGAAATGATGAAATAGTCCATTAATTATTTGGGAACAACTCAACTATTTGGGGGAAAAGTACAGGTAGAGTCTTACCGCATGCCGTATACCAAAATACAGCCCAGATGGATTAAAATACAAAAATAAAAAGTTAAAAATCTAAAAGAAAATAAAAATGTGTCTATACCTGTTTCTAAACATGATACTGACAGAAACTTAAAGGCTTTTAGTGTTTGACCAGTTAAATATTAAACCCTTGAAATAAACAAATGAACAGACCTAAATCTTCTTGCTATAGGATTAGGTCTTAGATATTTAAGAATATATTAAAATATAGAATAAAATTCTCCCTGGGTTCTTTTCAAACTTTAACTCGTCTTGGCAGGACAGTGGGGGGGGAAGAGAACTGGGTGATGAGCAGGGAGAGTATAGAAAGGCAGAGCCAGATCTCGCCTGGTCTGGGGTTGTGCCTCTTGGCAGTGCCATCTTTCTTATAAGAGGAATTGAAAACTGGAAGGGAGAGAGCATGGAAGGATACCCCGGTCGAAGGATCTGGCCAGGATACCCCAGTTGAACGTGCTTTATACATGAGAGTGTAATTCATCCTAGGTAGTAGACTACTGATGCCTAATGAGCTAGGGTTTCTAAGCCGGATTCTGTCTCCCACGTGTGCATTTCTCCACATCATTCTTTGTTTTCTTTTGTTTTGCTTTCCCAGATTCTGTGGGAAAGCAGTAAGGTTTATAAACAATGTTTTGTAGACATTTTTCATAGGAAAACTTTCCTGGAAGTTCTCATTCGAAAGGAAAGGCAAGCAGTAGCAATGTTTCTACAAGGACAAAAGACTCAGGGCAATTTGATGATTTCTTTTGAATGTGATTTGGGTGCTGGAGACAAATTAGAAGCAGTAGAATTGCTAGGTCAGGGGTTGTATGCATTTGGAATTGTAATAGATGTTGCATACTGCCCTCTTACAGAGCTGATACCCATCTGTAGTCCCCCAATAATGTCAGAAAGTGTATTCTTCCCCACCCTTTCTCTGCTGCACTGTGGCAAACATTTTGATCTCTGGCAGTCTGATAGAGCACCTTTGTGAAATAATAATTTGCATTCTGTGATCATAAGTGAGGTTGAGCGTCGTTCTACTTGTTTTAAAAGTCGCCTGAATTTCCTTTTGTGGGAATCAGAGAGCCTTTTAGAGCTGGAACAGACCTTAGGGATGAAGTCCACTCATTCAGCCTACAGACGAGGAACCTGTTTGGACATGATCCCTTGGCTCGCCCATGACTGATGCAGGGCCAACACCAGTTCTGTTTGTCATAGTAGTTGTCTGAGGGAGTGTAAGATGGGATCTGTAAAGGTCTCCGGAGTACTCTGGAGTTTGGCTCTAGAACCACAAAGTCTGAAAATTACCGTGCAGTGCTACAGGGCCTAGACTGTGAGACCAAATGCTCGTACCCACACTGAACTTCAGGTGCTTCGTCTGTAAAAGAGAATTAGCGTTAGCTTTTTTGCCAAGGGTCTATGGGTTCGTGTTAATAGAAGTAGGCTCACAACTGTTACTAACCTCATGTCTGTAGATTTTGTTATCTGACTTGCCCACCCATGTGTAAGCTCTAAGGGAGGCTTAAATCAAAATTCTTAAAAATATGAGTAAAACACAATAGAGTTTTGGGTAGGGCATCTGCATGGGAGAGCAACCAGGGTGTGTTCTCTGGGGACCCACTGTGGTCCAGGCTGCTACTTAACACACATCCTTGCTTAGTTGTAGCTTTTCCCCCTGGCTTTGCTGTCACTGTCTTGGTTGTCCTTCCAAGATATTTTATGCATGAGAAGACATCCCCATACTGACCTGAGATCTGGGAGGAAAGCTTACCCACTTTGTTACCCCTGCTTTTTAGGGTTTGTCTTCTACAAGTTCCCTTTTTGACATTTTTCAGGAAACATGAAAAGGCTCTGGGTTATTAAAGGAAAGACAGCCCGTGTGCCGGCTAGGTTAGGTCATGAGACCCAATCTCAAAGCACAAAGGAGGAATGAGAAGAGAGAAGAAGGGAGGGGAATTACTGAAAATGGGTTATTTTTAACACACAGCCCAGGTGACCATCCCAGATGTTCATAGGATTGTCAAGGGTCAATTTTTTTTGTTTGTTTCTCTTTGTTGTTTTTAATAATGGGTGTTACTTATTTCATTGTTCTTGTTCATGGTTATCATCACTATGTCCAGCCCTTTCTAGATTTTGAAGGAGAATGAGCTCAAATGCAGGGATGGGTCCAAGGACCGAGGCCACCACAGCCTTCCCTTCCCAGAGGACTTGGAGGGCCCTCCTCCCTCTCCTCCAGCTCTGAGCAGCATCTGCATTGGCTTCCTGGACATCCCACTCGGGTGGGAGGGCTGGAGAGGCTTTAGTTCTTTCTCTGTCACTTCTAGTCACAGTCACCCTGCCATTGCCTGCCCTAGTCTTAGTTGAGATAAAGTGGCAATTCTAACAGCTCGGAAAAATGAATGAGAAAGTGAATTTTTATGGGCCTCTGTGTTCTACTCTCAGTTCTAGTGTTTCTCCAGGTGTGGCTGTCTGACCACGTGCACATGATCTTTTGGACACCTGTTGAAAATGCAGATTCTCAGCCTCCCCTGCCTTGTAGACTTCCTGAATCAGAATCTCTGGGGGTAGAAGCCAGAAATATGCATTTTCAACAAGCAGTCCTTGGAGTACATTGAAGTTTGGAACCACTGTTATTCCCTACTAGTTTCTTATTTCTTTTCCTTCTCTTTCCTGTTTCTCCTTCCCTTCCCTTTTTCTTTCATTTCTTCTGACTCCTGCTCACCTGTTTGCTCCTTCTTTCCTCCTCCTTAATGCTATGGGTTCAGAGTAAACTGTGCTTTTAACATAATATGTTTAAGTCCTCTGGAAAGTCAGCTAGGAGAAAAAAAAAAAAGAAGTATGTATTTCCAACTGCCTTGCTTGTCTCCGTAAAAGAAAGGCAGATCTGGGGCTCCTGGGTGGCTCAGTCGGTTAAGCGTCTGACTCTTGGTTTTGGCTTGGGTCATGATCTCAGGGTCGTGGGATTAAGCTCCCTGGTAGGCTCTGCACTCTGCTGAGTCTGCTTGAGATTCTCTCTCTCTCTCCCCCCTCCCGCACTCACTCTCTTTTTCTCTCTAAAATAAATAAAATCTTAAAAAAAAAACCAAGAGTGTGGGAGAAAGTGGGATGGCAAAGGGGAGTGTCTGCATGGAGTCTGGGGCAGGTGTCTTCAGGGTCCTGACCTCTGCTTTTGTCTTCACAGCCACAGAAGTAGGAGATCAAGATGAATGCAGAGGTGAGTTCTTTAAAAGGGCTGGTTTAAGGAATGCTTTTCTTGCAGTGTTCCTCATTTCTCCTTCACAGAGTGTCTTCTCTCTCTACAGAACTTTCAAAAACATTGGCACAAACTTGAAAACATTTCCCTTCCGACCTGCTGATGTGCACATGGCTCTGGGTGATAATGGAAGAATTAGGCCCTTCCAAGTTCTTTTTTTTTTTTTTTTTTAATTTTATTTATTTTTGACAGAGAGAGAGCACAAGCAGAGGAAGCAGCAGGCAGAGGCAGAGGGAGAAGCAGGCTCTCCGCTGAGCAGGGAGCCCAATGCCTGGCTCGATCCCAGGACCCTGAGATCATGACCTGAGCCGAAGGCAGACGCTTAACCGTCTGAGCCACCCAGGCACCCTCCCCTGCCTTCCAAGTTCTTATCTGTGTCCGTTCAGCTTCAGTTAGACTAGAATTTACCTATCGCAGTTAATCCTGAAACAACACTGAAGGGCTGGGGCTGGAGTGGGCGGCACGGTGTAGGGGTGCTGGGCCTAGAGTCTTGCTTTGTGTTATTCTGGGGACTTAACCTCTGCTTATTAGGACATTTCTCTGCATTGTCTCCTAGGGACTCTCAGTTCTACTGTCCCTGTTCTTTGGTCTGCTGCGTCTTCTAGTCACTTTGCCCTTTTGTTTTTTCCTGACTGATCAGCTCCTTCCTGCCTCTACTCCTCTCCAAGTCCAGCCAAACCCCGGGGTCCGTCTCTCCAACCACTCTCGGTCTGATGTTCCCATCTGCTTTTCCTCTTGTCCCATTGACCTACCATGCCAACCCCAGGACAGTGGTCTTGGGTGGGTGGCACAGCTTCATGTATCTGCAGCTGGCACACGTCTCCAGACCCGCATGTGCATGCTCAGCACAGCCCGCCTGTCCTCCATGGAGCTGCATGCAGCCCCCTTCCCCATTGCCCTGAATGGCCAGGTCCAGCCTTCTCATGCCTCCCTGCTCCCTCCTCACTCTTAGCGTCTGGACTGCTTTTTACTTTACAGAGAAAAATGAGAACCATCAGACATCATCTCTCTCAATTCCTGCCTTCCCATGTGTCTTACTCCTCTTGTCACAGTGAAAGGGATGTTTATCAGTGAGAGGGCTCCAGGCTGTGAGTATAGGAAAACCCAACTTAGTGTGTTTTTTATCTTGGAAGTCCAAACGGACGGCAGGCTTCAGGGCTGGCTGATCAGTGGCTTGGCGATCTTGATGATCCAAGATCATTTCGTCTCTCTGCTCTTCATCCAAATGTTAGCTTTCTCCTAGAGATAGTTCCCCTTATGGTTATAGGATGGCTGCCAGCAACAGTTGGGGCTACATGCTTCCTCATTCAGTTTGAGCAGGAGAAGGAGAGCTTCTTGCAGCTCTCAGAAAAGTAGGAACCTCTTTGTTTTTTTTTTTTTTTGAAACCGCACCTAATGCCTCCTTAGGTCTTATTGGCAAGAATTGTGTCACGTGCCCACTCCTGGACTAATTACTGGGTTAAGAGGAGCCGAGATTTTGCCAATTGGCTTAGACAAATCAGGCCCACCCTGAAGCAGCTTCCCCCCTATGCCTGGGCTGTATAGAGGAAGAAGAAAGGGGAGTGGACCTATCGTATCCAGTGTCCCTAGAAACCCCTGTCCATACTCTGAATTTCAAATTCTCTTGCCTCTTTAGACCTCACCCTGCCTCCCTAATTATCTCCTTTACCAGCTGCATTGTTAACCTCATTTCTCCTGACTCTTTCTGATTAATATCTCCAAACGCTTTTCTTTTTTTAAAGATTTATTTATTTATTTTAGAGAGAGAGCACAAGTCGGGGGAGAGGCCGAGGCAGAGGGAGAATCCTCAAGCTGACTCCCCATTGAGTACAGAGCCCGACATGGGGCTTGATCCCACGACCCTGAGATCATGACCTGAGCTGAAACCAAGAGTCGGTTACTTAACAACTGAGCCACCCAGGCGCCCCTCAGAGTGCTTTAGTTCTTACTTTCTTCCGAACAAAACAACACATGACATTTTGTCAGGCTACTGTCATCCTATTTTTCTCATGTCTTTCAAAGAGAGGCTTCTTGAAAGAGATGTGCATAGGTAACTTCTCCATTTTTTCCTCTCTCCAAAGTCATTCTCAACCTACTGCAGTTGGGCTTCTTTCTTACTGAAATTCATCTTAAATAATAATTTTTAAAAATTGTTTTTGTAATAATGTCAGTACACAGAGTACAAAGCTCAAAAGCCATAAAATGGTAAAAGTCAAAAGTAAGTCTCCCTACTTACTGATCCCCTAGCCTTCCCCACGTCAGGGCTGACTTCTTTTAAGCACTTTCCGGTGCCTTTGACCCCTTACGTGAAGGCCCCTGTGACTCACTGAAATTCTCATGGTCTTAGGAGTTCTGAAGAAAAATTAGAAACTTTGCATTAATAGTAAGCTTATATAGCCTGGCCCGGTGACAGTTCCATCAATCGTCAGTTACCCCTTCTTTCCTATCATTTTGACCCTTCTTTGATGGCTTTTTACTCCCAACCTTTGAAAACATTCCTAGACCTTGGGTTCCCCTTTAACTATCATCACTTCTCTTCTGCATTAAACACCCATCGTTCAGTGCCTCTGACCACTTTCTCACTTCCCTTTTATGTCAGCCCCACTGCAGTCTGACTTGGTTCTCACTGTTCCACCAAAACTTTGCAACTGAAAGTAACCAGTAGCATCTATATTGCCAAATTTGGTGGAAACTTCCTTTTTGAAGCATTTGACCCTATTGGCCGTGTTCTTCAAGTGTTTCCACGCCATCCCAAGGTTTCTGCCTATCTCTCTGCTCACTTCTTGTCACAGTCTTTCTTAGGCTTCTCTTTTGCCTGCTTTTTAAAACTTTGTGTTTCCCAGGATACTTCTCCTCCTACTCATTTGTCCTAGGCTGCTCATCTGATCCCCCAGTTTTTGTTAATCGTATGCTTAGGAATGTCCCAAATGGATTTGTTCAACCAGATCCTACTCCTCAACTCCAGATCTGTACATTGAGAAGCCTGGGTTGCTCATCTTCACTGAGAGCTTACACAGGTGCTCCAGCTCATCCCAACCCAACCTGGACCTGCTGTCTTTCACCTGCCCCAAATCGGCTTCTCAGGGAATGGCACCATCGCCATCTGGGTATGGGGCCTGGGAGCTTGATACCCTCCTCACTCCTTTCCCACACTCCATGCTGTAAATCCTATTTGCTTGATTTAGTCACTAAAATGTAACAACGCACTGTACCAGACTTTAGACTTGGCTTTATGGCTTTAATGGTAAAAAAATATAGATAAGGTACTTGTACTCATGGAATTTGCTGGTGAGACCATAGTACCCTCCAGATCTGTCTTTTTCTTGCTTGACTTTCTGCCTCCTCATCATTTGCTCACTTCCTGTACTTACTCTCCTTCCCTTTCCTTACGCTCCTCTAGGGCGTTCTCTCTCCCTCTCGCGGGGCATAGAAGGTGCTCCTCAGCCCCCGCTCGTGGCATGTGGTCCTTGTTGGTGTGTGCAGGGCTCCTCTCTTGTATTTATTTTCTCGTTCCTTCTGGTCTACATCCTCGCTCTCACCCTTCCAAAGACAGCTGTTCTAATGGATTCAGTGATTACCTTTTTGTTTTCATGTATTCCCCAAAGTATATGTTACTGTTTTTATACAAATACCCTTTACGTTTACATTTGGTAAAATTGTTTTTTTGGTGCACAAGTTCTGTGAATTACAACACATGCATCAGTTTGTTTACCCATTCCCGCAATTGGGATTTAGACCCTCCCTCCAAAATACTCCTTTCTTTTCTTGCTCCTTTGTTGTCACAGCCACCCTCACCCCGAGCCCCTGGCAACCCCTGTGTAGTGTACTTTTAATTTCAATAATTGTATTGTGTTACAGTTCATATCTTGTTCTCTTTCTTATTTGTTCCACTCAGCACTACGTTTTCAAGATAAAACATATAGTTAATCTGCTGCCCAGTATCCCAGGATGTGCGTAATTTAATCCTAACAAGACACCTATGAGCAAGATGCTATTATTGCCTCTGTTTGGTAGATGAAGAAAATGAGGGTTAAGTAACTTGCTCAAGTCATGGGGTATTGGGGGCAGAATGGTCATGCAGGCCCTGATGTCTCTGACTTGGTAAATGCCTCTCTTCTTGTATATATTCAGCTAATCTTGTCCATGCGGTTCATATGTCATTTCTGCTATGTGAAATTTCTCGGGGCTTTCTTTCTGGAAGTGATCTGGAACAGCGATCTGTGTCTTGCTTTTCTCACCCAACAATCTATCTTGGAGATCTGTCCCTTTAAATACATAAAGAACTTCCTTGTTCTTTTCTATAGTGGTGTACTATTTCATTGTAAGGGCGTGCCATAATGTACATAACCAACCAGCTATTAACAATGTATATGTTATTTTCGATTTTCTGCTCTTACAAGTAAGGCTGCAATAAACCTAAGTCTTTTCATTGTGTATCTCTGTAGGACACATTCTTAGAAATGGATTTACTGGACCACAGAATATTTGCATAAGTTATTTCCAAGTTGCTCTCCACAAAAGTTGCCCATTTTTCTCTCCCTCTTGCATTGTATGAATATACTTGTTTTTCTGCACTCGCCAATGTGTTGTTAAACTTTCTGATCCTTGTAAACAGTGGATGAAAAACATTAGGTTGTTCTTCCTGACTATTTGGAATCCCCTTTTCCCCCTCCCGGAATGGTGGTCCAGCACTTGCCTCATGCCTTATCCCCTGAAGTTCCTCCAAAATGATTTTATTTTTTATTTTTATTTTTTTTTACAGAGGGAGAGAGGGGGCTGTGTAGAGGGAGAGAGAGAATCTTAAACAGGCTCCACACCCAGCGCAGAGCCCATGCGGCGCTCCATCCCACGACCCTGAGATCATGACCTGAGCTGGAATCAAGAGTCACATGCTTAACCGGCTGAGCCCCCGAGGCGCCCTTTGTGTTTTCTTTTACCCTTTTCATCTCAAAACAGTTTTT